CTGTGTGTCACCTCCACCTGAAACGCCATTACGGAGCCTGGCTGATGAGATACAAGCACGCTGATCCAGGCCAGATTTTTTACTTAACCTCTCCTGCTTGAAAATACGCTACTAACAAAGTGTCAGACAGGGAAGAGGCTCCCCTTTGTCTCTTCATTCACCGGGAAGAATCCATCATCCAACACTTTTCACCTGCGTCAGTCGCAGGTAAATCCCAGAGCAGATCTTTTAACACGAAGCCTCTTGCTGCTTCCTCTCACCTCCCCGAACGAGACAAATAAAACCCGATAATATGCAGAATCCTGATTTCTAGAATTCCTTCCACTCCAAGATGTCTTCTGGCAAGGAGCCTCGTGCAGAAGGGATGAGCCCAGCCCGTGCCAAAATGCAACTCAAGCTCTCGCTTTCAGCTCCGCGCTGGATTTTTGTCATAACTTTGCTTTGAATGCATATATGAATGAAAAAAAGGGACATTGGATTTCAAACAACAGCTTTGAAATGCGAGCGGGGCCGGGCACGGCTGGGTGAGCTGCTGGGCTCCGTGCTGCCCTGTGCCCACCCCGCACCAGGCAGCCCTTTGTGTGCCCACATGCTGTGACTGCGACAGGCCGCTTCCTGGGGCACAGGGGCTGCCGTGCAGGAGAAGGGGAGTTTCCTTCTGCTTTTTTGAGGAATAATCTGCCATTTTCTTGTCTTTTCTATCTGCATAAATGCTGCAATTCTTTGTAGGATTTTCTTTCTCTCTCTGCTAACAAATGCTCCAGTGTCCTTACTGGGATAAAAGGGTGGGGGAGGGAGAGGCACCACCCCTCCTCCCCAGACCGAACCAGCGACATATTTGTGCCATTTAATTTAATAGGGAATTAATACCATTAGGGGATTAAACATGCCAAGAGCCCCTGCTCTCAGCATTAACTCCAGCGGCGTGGAGTGGTGCACGTGCACCTACCAGGCACTGACAACCAGGTGGAGACAAGCCGGTCCTTGCACGGTGATGCTGCTGCTGTGCCACGTCCCCATGCAGCCCTGCGTCCTGCAGGGACGGCGTCGCGCTGATACGCCATGGGCTGGCAGCATCCTGTGGGTTCTGGGGGGCACAGGCTGGTGGAGACCTTTCCCCCTCATTTTTCAGTGATGAACTACAGCTTGTGACAACCCATCATAGGGAGCTACTGCTGCCATGCCCTAAGCACCGCGGGGACGGTGAGGGCTGCTGCGGTATCTGTACTGTAGAGATTCCAGTGTGAACCTGGAGAATGGCAGAGTGATGGGGCAAAGCAGGAGGTGGAGAGGCATGGGGGTGTGGGGTCTTGGGAAGAATGGATAGGGAAGTGATGTGAGAGAAGCACAGCACAGAGAGGAGAGGAGGGAAGGAGGCCAACAGAAGCATCACTGGGGCTGGTCAAACATTTCATTTTTGGCAGCTGTGCTCCAAAACGTTTGAGGAGCCAAAAGAAAAGAAATAAAGAGAAACCACTTCAATAAATGCTAAAAATTACAAGAGCCTTTTATTTTAATATGATTTGCACAGTATTTTTGTTAGCGACTGACAGGATTCCCTCCCTCTCTGGCGAGGCACCTGGGAGAAGAGCAAGGCTGAATGTGGGAAGCACAAAATGAACAATGCGGGGATGTGGGGTCGGGCTGGCACTGCTCCACCACTCCAGGGGCTGAGCTGGGACAGGATCTGGCCTATTGCTGGCAGCCTGCGGAGAGAGGAAGGACTGTGAGCGTGTGTGGGGAGGAGCAGGATGCTTGGCCCCGCAGACTCAGCCCTGTGCTGCCTGCATGGTGACACAACCGCAATCCCAACCCTCATGGCCTCCTGGCACGGGTCTGGGAGAGCATCCTCCACCCCCAGGACGTCGCTCTTGGTTTCTGTTGACATATGGAAGAGAGTGGAGGGCTTGGGGTGAATCATCTGTACTCTAGCACACCCAACCACCTTCATTTTGGAGGCACAGCAATGCCTTGCACCCTACCCCCATGATGGGTGTGGGGAACAAGGCCTCGGCATGGCCATCGATGGCCAACACCACCACCAGCACCCAACACCTCGAGTAGCACCCAACACCCCACGCACCCTTGTGCCTCCCCTGCCTGCACACCCTCCTGTATTCCTCCTCCTCCCCATTCTACATTTCACACATTAGCTTTTGGGCTCTTAATCCCCTCCATTGAATAAATCACTCCTGCCAGCCTGATAACTTTTCTTCCCCTCAAGCTATCATCCTGGGCTTTCATTCCATGCAAGATTTGAGACTCTCCCTGCTGTCTGCAATCAAGCTGCATTCTTTCAGCAATTATTTTGTGTCGCTGATCTCTCCTCTAAAATTTCTCAGGCTAGCATCTTTTTTCACTTGCAGGCTTCCTGTAGTTGCTTATCTCCAGCGTCTCCAGCCAAGAGGTCCTTTTATTCCACCTCTGCTGTCTGACACCAACCCTGGATATGGAACTTGGTCAAAAATGCTTTCTCAACACGCGTTTGTCAGGATGGAGAGCTCGCATCTGTGCTCGGCAGCACAGTGTCATGTTCCCTGTCAGTGGGGGGACATCAGGGGAGGGGGCTGAGCTAATGGACCATATCAGTTTCTCTTTGCTGACAAAGATAACAGGAGGAAGCCAGTTGGAGTGTGTGGGGGGGGAGAGGGGGGCAGAGTGAGGAAGGTGAGCGCTGGGGGAGCTCATCAGGGAAAGGGTGAAAATGCACTGATGAGCTTTCCTGGGGTTTGAGGGCCTAGGATGTATTTCACTGCTGTAACCCTCTGAGCTGTGTGCTACCATGGCATGGTCAGGCGCTGTGTAGATGGTGATGGAATGGTTTGCCATCGTGGGACACAATAGTTCTGCTTTTCTGGAGGAGAGGATTAGGGGACAGGTGGCTGCTGCTGTGCTGCCTGACTGGCCCCAGGGCTGAGGGATGCACTGAGTGTGATTTTCAGGAGTTGTGTCTCTGTGATGTCTGGGCCGGGGAGTGGGGCTGCAGCCCCAGATGTGCTGGGCGTATCGTTCCTAGAGTGCAGAGCTCAGCAAGAGTGCTCAGATGTCATGGTACAGGGAATAAGCTGATTTATTCAGAGGTCAGGGAAGAGGTGATCCTCTGCGGTGCATGATTTATCCGTTTGCTTATTGCACGCTCCCACAGATGGGCAATGGGACCTCGGCAGGACACGCTGGGGCCAGCAGGCTGATGTGGAATAGAAACGTGCAGACCTATGAAGCAGCACCTGTGGAGCTGGGTACAGAGCTAATGCATGTGCATCTCTGCCTATGAGTGGATAGGAACATCGTGATGGCAGAGCTGGAGCTTGAGTCAGTCCAGCAGAGCTGAAGATTGAACAAATCCACTCTGCCTAGCTGCAGGACACAGAGTTAACTGCAGGAGAATGGAAGTCCCCTTGGGAAGGAGCACCTGGCTGTGCCATAAGCCCAGTCTACAGCAGATTTGCTGTGCACAGTGGTTGTTCATTTAAGATGTGTTCTGAGTGCTCCCCCCACAGTGTGATGCAGCCCACCTGAGCAAGCACTATACCTGGAGCAGCGAGCTCAGCTCACTGTGCTTCTGGCCCTGCTTGAACCTTGATCCCTCCCTTGCACTCACACACACACACACACACACACACACACACACACACGTGTGTGTGTGTGTGTGTGTGTGCAGGGCATTGTATCCATTAAATTCAGCTGCATTCCTCAGCCTACAAAGACAATGAGAAGTATAAAGAAAGGAATCTCTTTGTTCAGCCACTTCTCTGCTGCGATGTGTGAACAAAACCATCTCAGACAAGCGCACAGCAGAAGAATTAAACCTGAAAGGGGGAAAAGCATTTCCCATGGGCTCTCCATCTCCCGTTTTTGCACCTTGAAATATGCTGCGTAACACCAGTACTGAACCCTGGCATCCCTGCTGCTCTGGGGCATTCTGTGCTGTGAAGAGTGCCATGCACACTTGTGTGCCCCCGGGTCCCTGCAGTGCTGCTGTCCCCAGGGTGCTGTGGGCTGCCTGGGCTCACTGTGCCTGCGGGGCTGCAGAGTTGCTGCATTGGCCAATTAGATGAGGTGACACAAATCTGCTTCTGTCTCATCAGGTTAAGGGAGAAGTTTCAGCCCCACCGACAGGGCTTTGGCTTTGAACCAAAGAGCATCGACCCGGAGCCCCCCCTGTGTTCCCACGGGCTGCCCCTGCTGTCTCACTGCTCCCATCGCTTGGGGCAGGACCTGGCTGGTTGGGGCAGCTGCTGCTGGCTGGCTGTTATGGGGTGAACGGAGGGGTTTGGCCACCTCAGCCTTCACCTGGAGGCTGCCACCTTCTGCTCCTTGTCACCAGCAGCAGGACAGTAGTGGGACAACACCAGAGATAAGGGGAAGGTGGCTCTGGCACCTGGCAAAGTACTCCTGTCCCTCCTGACTGTGCCAGTCTCCCCCAAAAGCAGCAACCAGGAATCGCAGCAGCAGGACATGAGCCAAACATCACGGACATGGTATACACTGTTCTTTATGGTAATGGTGCAGCAAATCCCCACAGAATGCAGGGAAGATATGAGCTTTCCCTACTGGACTTTAAAATAAACAACTGTGCCGAGCCAGGGCCAGAAGCAGGAACGAAAGTAAAGGGAAGTTGGAATGAAATCCTCCTCTTCTCTCCATTCTCCTCTGCTTTTTTTCACTGATGACATTTACTCTGCTTAATAAAAAGAAAATTTATGTTTGACTCCCATAATGGTGCCTTTTAATCTCCGAGACCTCAATCCTTCAGGACTGTGTGCGTGTGCACAAAAAACAAGTTTCAACCCCAGAGGAAAGCAGGAGCGGACAAGGGGAATTATGCTGGGAAATGGGGCATTGCAAGCAGCTGTATGCACTGCAGCTCATCTCCTGCAGCCACGGGCCTGGGCCTGGCCCTAATTGCTAATTGCAAAGGGCTGAGAGGGCTCAGTGCCTCTCTGGATCAGTGTCTGAACAGACAGCTTTAAGGAGCTGCTGCCTGGAGTGGTGGTTGGGTCTCTGCAGCTCTGGAGTGTTCTTGCATGGTGGTTATCACTTCTGGAGGAAAGAGGTGACAGAAGCCCCTTTAAATGAAATATCAGGGTTCTCATTAGTGGCATCTCTAGGTCAGTCAGTGCTGATGGGCCCCAGATGGGATGTCAGGCACAAGCCTTTGCCTTCTGCTGCAAGTAGGGTAAGAGGCTGGAGGGGGAGGCATGTTAAGAGCAGCCCTGGAGCGTGCAGGGAATCTGGGCTGTGTTGGCAGGTGGAGGGGTGGTGGTGGCACAATGGAATGGTGGCATAGTGGTACACTGGGGTTATCTGACCACAGCCACATAGTGAGGCAGGGCAGGCTGAATGCAGCAGCAGGGGGTGGTGGGTCATGAGCTGCACCCCAGTGCTGGCAGCAGGCAGTCTCACAGCCTTGGGGCACCAGGATATGTTTTGAGGGTAGGGGGGCACCACGCTGCCCCAGGGCTCCCTTCTCCCCCTGATTAATGGCTGTTACATGGAGCCCAAGTTCCCTGTGGAAACAAGAGTTTCCGTTTACCCAATTAGCGCAAAAAATGTTATCTCATTTGTTCTGGAGGCAGTAACATGCAATAATTAATTTTTCAGGGTATTTCCTAGGCCATTTCTCTCCCAGGACAGCCTTTGGAGCAGCCCCTGTCAGACAGGACGTATGGTCTCCAACACACAGTGCTTTTAAGGCCAGAGAAAGCAGGTCTGGTATTTCTTGTTCGGGTCCCATGCACAATGTTTTCTTTGGCTCTGCCGTTCGTCCTTCTGAAGTGGATCACGGCTGAAGAATGACAGAGGTCCAGTGACAAACTTTCAACATTATTTAAAAATGGGGGCAGAAAGCAGAGAGGTCAAACCCTAACGCGGGCGATGAGGGAAGAGGCGAATGGGGATTGCGTGTGTTTTTTCTCATGTGTGCTCAGGGGCTGAAAACCAGGAAGAAAAATCGCACCCAAGTTCCTAAGCTCCCTGAGGAGCGTCTAATGGGGAAAATTAATGAGCTGGAACGTCACGCCGGAGACGGGCGAGGGGGACCTGACAGCCCTGGCGGCTGCAGGATGATGGGTTGTGGTCACCTTCAAGGGAGGGGTGGGCATCAGGGGGTGCCCGTGTGCCATCTGTGCTCCCACTCACAAGCGTGCTCACTGCCAGGGGGATTTCTGCCTGAGCTGCCCTGGCTGTGATGAGCAGGAAGGGGCGGCTGCCGAAGGCGCATAGCAAACCTGCTGCCGCGTGGGAAACAGGCTGGAGCGCACGGTCTGGGCATGCAAGGAATGGCTTGGCCAGGCTCTGCAGCCTTCGTGAGCTTGTGATTCCACTGCTTTTCCCAGAGCCTGCCCAGGGCTCTGGGGTTTGTCACGCGTCCCCTTGCTGGCAGCAGCCTCGTGTCCTGGCTGCAGAGCTCTCGGTGCCCCCAGCCCTGTGATCCTCAACACCGCTGCGTGCTTGAGACAATGCTGTGGCAGAAGCCTGGTGAGAGGCACAGTGCTTTGTGCATGTTGCTTTTGCATGGGATTCGAGTACTCAGTTGTGTTGTGCCAGAAGAAGCAGTGGAGCTGGGCAAATCTATGCTGTCAAGTCCAGCCCTGCTGTTTCCACTCCGTTTCCCTCTGTGAAGTGCTCCAGTGCAGGCTTAGCATCCTTGGGGGCTGGATATGATTCTCTCACCCAAGATTAAAGCAGTACTGATTTGATGGAAGCACAGCCAGGAAAGTGAACTACCAGCACTGGGTTGTCCCTCCAATGCTGGCAAGTAGGGGTTAAAAATATTTTCCCAATGCTTTCTCTGATTACTTTTACTCAGAACCCAAAGACAAAGCACGTCCGAGGGGCTGGGAGGAGGCCTCTGAGGATCCCTGAGCTGAGATTTGCACCCTCTCCCCCTCCTGATGGAAGGATGGGAGCAATAATACGGAGGCAGTGTGCTTCAGTTGTCCCTGAACAGGACACAGTTGGCACAGCTCAGCTTTCTCCATCGCCTTTCTTCTGGCAAAGTCGGAGCCCTGCTCCTGCCAATGTCCGATCCCTGCCTGCCTTGCAGGGAGGAGAGGGGCACAAAGCCCCCAGGGGCACCCGCTCCCGCTGTGCTCCTGGGTGTGAGCACTGTCCCTGGGCAACTCCAGGACCGAGCTCCCATCACAGCCGCGATGGCACGGACACGAGTGAGGAAAGCAACCTAAGAGGCACCGGAGCGTGGCTGCATGCACAAATGCTTCCACAGACACATTTCTAGGTAATAATCCCCCCCCGCTGCTTTCTTGCCTTGATCAAAGCCCAGACATGAGGGAAGTCCATCTGTGAAAGATTGAGCCGTGCGTTTTTTTGCGAAGGTATATGGGCTGGCAGCGAAATTTCTCTGACAAGTCCAACAGGGAAAAATGGAGAAATGAAAGCCTTTAAGATGTGTGCATTTCCCAGATGACTGGTGATGTGTGTGGGTAACATATGGGCAGTCCGTGCCCGCTGTCCCACGAAACATGCTGATTTCACACTCAGATTTCTCAGATTCCCTGACAGCTCTGCAGTTCGCCCCCGGCAGCCGGCAGTGGGTTCTGCATGGCTGCTTGTGCCCAGTGCAGGGAGCAGGGGCTGCAGCCCCATCGGTGCACGGCGCAGCGGGACGTGGGGCTCTGCAACAAGCATCGAATGGAAGCAGCTTATGGGAATGGGAGTCTTGCATTTTGCTGTCAAGTATTTCTATTTTTTGTGACTTTTATTTTCCTCACAGCTCTTGCTAAGACTGAAATAGCATGAGAGATGCTGCTTCATCTCCATCTGCCAGCATGGCACAGCGGCTGCCTGTCAGTTTTGGGGTGGGGGTGTCCCTGTGCCCCGCACTGGGCTGCTCCCCTCCCCCCCAGGCACTTTCCTCTTGGTGCAGGGAAGGATGAAGGCATTGCCACGTGGCAATGGGCCTCTCCTTGTCGCCAGCTGTGTGGCTCAGTGTGCCACAGGAACGCCTCCATATGTTGTGCCTTGCTTTTTCTTATTCCAGGATGACAGGAAAATGATGTTGGCATGATTCTGAGACAACATATACAGGAAATAATGTAGAACCAGATCAGCTTTTCTCTTTCTACCTTCTGATTTAGGAATTTAAAACACATGGATTTGCCAAGCAGAGAGAGCATTGAGGCTGCTTGGTTGCGTTGCTCTTCCATCAGTTTGCCTAGCACCTGAGCCTGTCTGTAGCCCTGTGGTGGGAAAGACCAAGGGATAATCTTGCCCTTGTGTGAAAAGCCAATCTATTAACCTTAATGAACTTGGGAAGAGCCTGGTGTTCAGACTCAGTCCTGGCGTGTGGAGAGCTGAGCATTGTGCTGCTCCCTTACTGCCCTTGTATCGCAGTCCCTTTCTCTACAGAATGAATTTGCTTTTAGCCTAAGAAAGGCAAAACCAGAGCAATAGGGCAGGCAGCATCTGAAGGAACTCCAGCAGCAGATCAGTGTCCCTCCATTTAGCAGCGCTCCACGGCTGCTGGGGTCTGTGATCATCACCTCTGTGACAGCAAAGCATGCAGGTGTTGGAGGCATGAAGCAGGTCTGCCTGGTGATATCAAAGTTCTGCATGATCAAGGGAAGTGCTGATTCCCCTCCGATCGCTTGGGAGCACAGAAGCAAAACCCTTACAGTCAAATTACTGAGAAAGTGTCTCACGGAGATGCTCTCAAGCTGTTCCCTTGAGTGCATCTATTGGGAGATGAAAATTTGGAGGATGGGGAAATAATGGTTGCATGCTCTATTCTTACACTGACTCACTAATTCTGGGTATTTGCAGGGCTCCGGGTGGAACTAATGCATGTTCTCTCTTTATTTATTATTATCTGCATTGTTAGAATATGTACACTAATCCTGTGAGTAAGCTTAATTGGAGCTGGCTTTGAAAAGGTCCTGCTCAGCTGCAAGTCTCATTTGCTTGTGCAGGCACTGTGTTGGAGAGAGCCAACCAGGTAAAACAGAGCGTGAATGCAGCTAAGTGGCCCCTTAGGAGCACATCTCTCCATTCATGCACCCAAGTGCCACTGCTGGGTTTGATGTTTTAACTTGTGACTATAGATACAGCGATCTGAAGCATCAGAGCTGCTGTGGTTCAGCCTTTGAGGACCACCACGATGGTCCTGGTGCCCCTTTGGGCACTGAGCTGCCCCCAGGGCTCAGGGAGGGGCTGTGCATTGCATGCTGCTCCTGCTTGCTCTGGGATCCTTCTGATGGGAAATGCAATGGAAACGTGGGTTGTTGTCAGTGCTGTAATAGAGAGTTGGTCGTTCTGTCGGTGCATGGCACGCAATGTGTGTGGTGTGGCTCCATACTGTGCATGCAAACTTTATTTCTATGCAGAAATATGTTTTTAATACTCCAGTGATAGTATCTAATATTCAATAATGATTGTGGTTCCGTTTTTGAGATGCACTTTAGATTTCCCAGAGCAGTTATTGAATGTGAGTGAGATGCAAATTAAACATTAAAAACATATTTATGGTGGGGTTAGCAGCAGCTCCATGATGCTGCATCCAGAGCAGGCCACAAGCACCAAGTAGCCATCGGGGAGAGCTCCGAGAGGATTTGTTGTAAAAGCAATTGGTGCATCGTTAGCCTGGCATACGAACCTGTTGGATGAGAAGAAGGTGCAGGATGAGACTGACCTGTGCTGTATTGGATAAGAGGACAAGACCCATCTAGGAGCCCATTGCTGAGCCCACGTGGTGCTGCTGGGTGCACAGCCTGGCATGCTCAGTACGGCCACTGCATCCCAAAGGGTCACCCTGGGGTAGGGGTGAATCAGTGGGGCAGGTATGCCTGGCTGTGCTCTGGAAGCATTGCAGTGGGATGTGACAGGGCTCTCCTCCTTCTGCACCCTGCAGTGCTGCTCAGCTTTCCCCAGGTGTGAACCAGTATCCTATTGATTTCCAGCCAGGTCCTTGTGGCTGCGGTGAGTGAGATTGGTGGGGAGATGGGGATGGGGAGAGCACGCAGTGGGGGTGGTCCTGGTGTGGGGCTCCTAGAGCTGCTGACAGAGCTGAATTATGGCCTCACCTGGGCCAGGGCTGCTCACGGGGCTGCCTTGTTTTCTGGAGGAGCCCCATCCTGGGGAGACACTGAGAGAACCAGGCACGAGCCATAATGCACACTACTGTCTTTTAGTGCAGGAGACGCGCAAAGGCTATTTTTTACTCTGTTGTTATTCGTTCCTGAGCTAGGAAAAAGTTACAGAGCATTGTGTCTGCCAAGTGCAGTGCTGCAGCAGCCCTGGCCTGTCCTTCCCAGCCCTCAGCATGGAGCCCCAGCCCTGCCCAATGCACCAACAGGGCATGGGCAGCAGCAGGAGCACCATCAGGACTCTGATGTGCAGGAGATGCTCTCAGGAGAACTGGGCTGGAACGTGCCCTAGCACCACAAGGATCCCTGTTAGTGGTACCACTGGAGGAAGAGCAGTAATTATTCCTAAAATCCGGGCTATGGAGTGTTTTGGAAGAGAAGAGAGTATACACTTGCTCTCCTGAGTACGAGAAAATTGAATTGCTTGGAAAGCTCTGGGATGTCATTGTTTTCTGCCTCATGTAAAGCTGATCTGCAAGGCCTCTCTGGAGGGCCCACATGGAGGATAATTGCCTCGCTAATGAATGTGGGATTCCAGCACGGGACCTTTCTGTGGGACCCAAGAAGCTCATACATCCCTCCTCGTAGTGACAGGGATAACCCTGGAGCTGCTCCTGTGCAGTTCTCTGACCTCTCTTTGTTTCTCTCCCCAAAAAGGAGGCAGATGACCTCAGAAATGGAGGAGCTTCAAAAAGATGAATGTTGGGATTTGCCAGTTTTTGCTGCTGCGGACTCATGATGGGGCAGAGGAGATGTACCTCTGGTGCCCCGCTCTCTTCCTGTCCCCTGAGGACTTATAGGTTCCAGCTTGTCCTTTCTGTGTTGGTCTGGAATGATGCTGGGATGCCCAGCTGGTGTCATCGGATGTACTGTGCTCTTTGGGGACTTAAATCACAGCTCTGTCCTCTGCATGGAGATAAATGACATCCTGCAGCGCAGGTGCTTGACAAAGAACAATAAATGGAAAGCTTTTGGCTGGGCTCAGCGATAGGGCTAGGATCCTCTTTCACAGAGTATTTTAGGGCTCAAGGCACCACAGCTGTTTGTGGGATAATCCTTCTGCCCTCCTCCTCAACCTTGAAAAAGGACTTCACAGTCCCACTCAAACTGGAAATAAATCAGGAAATGGCACTTTGTTCTTTCCAGAAATAGGCTGGCTTTCCAAACCCTTTGAAACAGGCACTCCCAACAGACAAGAGTCTGCTTGGGAACAAACTTCATTCAGCCAGTTTGCAGCAAAGTCTGTTCTTAAGCAGATGCAGGACTCAAGCTGGTTTCAGGGCTTGCACTTTCAGGACTCCCTTTGTGGGGAACTGTTCTGGGGCACCAGCAGCAGGACTTCTCCATCACAGCTGCCTATGGGTTCCCCAGTTGGTCTCCATCGGATGGAGCTCCATCCCCTCACTGCAAGCAGGAGATGTGAATGCAAAAGCAGGCTGTGGAGGTAGCAGTGCTCCCTGCCAGGGGCTCAATGAGGATTTACGCTTCCCCTCTGGGTGAACCAGACCAGCTCTTTCCAAGGCTCATAGCCCCACAACGGGCTGCAGTGCCGGAATTAAGTGGGAGCGTGAGTCTCAGCGCTTTGTAGCTGGTGAAATGTGGGCTCTGTAAAGCTGTCAGGAGGGAGTGGAGATCCCTTTGGTGCCCTGCCTCAGCATTGCCAGGTCATTGAGCACAGCACCCACTACCTGCCCCCAGCCAGAGCTCCAGAGGGATGGGGGGGCTCCTGGGCTTTCATCTGGGGCTTTGTGAGTATGATGTGGCTCTCAGGACAAGCCCCTGGTGCTCCTATGGTACCTGCTGGCTGACTGCTGGCTCAGAGGGGGTCTGATCCACAGTACAGAGCATCCCTTGGAAGCCTCCATCTAATTGTCCCTGTGGTTCAGCTGCCAGGCAGTGCACAAAACCTGGATCCCCCAGGCCTCAATGCTGGGACCTGTCAGCTGCTGGCATTTTTTTCTGCCCCTCTTTACTGGCCTCTTTCAGCAGTTCAGGATCAGAAGGCAGTGGGGTGTGAATGGGAACAAAATGAGAACCTCAGCTCTGTGACTGACAAAAAACCATCCAGGGTAATGAACAGCTCTGAGAGCAGAGGAGGTTGTGCACTTTCCTCCTCTTCAGAATAATATTTCCGACATGCTTTAAGCATCGTTAAACAGATAATTAAACATTCCCTCGCAGTTTAATAGATCTCAAATACATGACCCAGCATTACTGATGTGAGGGGCTCGGGGTGTTGGAAATGAAAAACTCCCTGGCCCAATCTGTGCAGGTAAGGCCAATCCTGCTCCATCCTCTTGGCAAAGCTCTGCGATTGCTGCCCCTGCTCCAAACACGCCAATAGGCTGAGCTGTTGAATGCTTTTATTTCTTTTAATTCTTGTGGGCATGCCACGCACTGGCCAAAAGCAGAACGCACGCGCTGCATCACAGCCAGCACAGAGACCAGAGGGGACATCCGAGCAGCCGGAGGGGCTTTGGCAGAGTTTGACACAGCTCTGCAAGTCCCTGAGCTAATTGAATCCAAGTGTGGAAGCAGGGCTCTGCCCTCGTGGGTATGGCGGATAGGGGGAGAGCTTTTTATTTCTCTTCTGTTCCCTGCTTGCTTTGAGTTTTCTTGCTTTGAAAAGGGAGGCCTCTGGTTTCTATTCACAGAAAATGTGGCTTTTCTAAGTTTAAAAGCCTTTTGGTCTCTTCAGGGAGCGCTCGGCAGGCAGATGGGCACAGCAGCCCCGGCTTGGATTGGCCCCAGGGACAGGGATGTGCCCACCTGGAGATGCTGGAGGTCCCTGCACATCCCTTGGTGCATCCCCTCCCTGCCCACTCGGTCACTCTGTCCCCAGCACGCTCTGGGTGAAGGTTTGGAGCAGGGAGGCTCTGAGAGGGCTCTGCCAAGAGCCTGAAGTTCCCATCCTGGTTTGTGGCACTTCTGCTTTTCCTTCAAACTTCAGTACCTTTGCAAAGTACCTGGCTGGGGCTGTGCTGCTAAAAGGCAACGAGTGATCATTATTTTGATTCATTTTCCCAACAATATAGTCATGAATAAGGATATATAGCCAGGTATTGGCAGGATGGATGGGCTCTCTCCCAGATCCAAGTTAGCTCTTTAACCCCAGCCACAGTAATTAAGGGGCAATTGCAGGGAGCAAGTACAAAAAGGCAATGAGCCACAGGGGGAGCCAGGGGCAGAGGGTTCCTGCACATCTCAGGTGTCCTGTGACTGCCCCAGCTCTCTGTCATCCCTGCTACTACAGAAAGACTTGCAGCCACTGGTTGGTGAGGCTGCATCCTGGTTGCAGCTGCTGCAGAGCCCAGTTTTCCCCTTGTTGAGAGCATCACAGGGAAGTGGGGGGCAGGGAGCAAGGCTGTGCTCCTCAGGAGGACTTGAGGAGCCAACAGTGAAATTGCAGCCCCAATCCATCAGAACATCTCTTCATTTTGCTAGTGTTCCAATGGAAACTTCTAGCCAGAAGGCCTATCTCAGTCCTGCCTTCCCAGCCTCATGCTCTCTTTATTGACTGTATTTATTAAGCTGCTATACAAGCTGGATTTTTTCTGCTCCTTTCTTTTCTCTTCCCTTTCTCCCCCACTTTTGCAAATTGATTGCATTCAAATGCATTGTTTGGCAGCCTTAAATACGGGTGCTTCACTCTCTTTCGCCATTTCTTTCTCTCCTTTTTGGTCTTGTATTTTCAGGATCATTTACCGTGTTGTTCCAGTGGCATTTATTGAAATTTGCACAAAAAAAGGATCTTTCTTCAATGGCACTACTTCAAGCCACGCAAAAGATTTATGGGTACAGGAAGACATCCATGGCAGGGATTCACTGGCAGAAAGGAAGGAGAGAAAGAAGAGGAAACATGCTGGAAAAGTAGAGGACATCTTGAGAGATGAATGGAGAGAAGCCAGGCACCGCTGGGGCAAAAGGCTGAGCACGGGATTTGGCTGGCAGAAGAAATGTGCTCTTCTACATGGTGACACACTCAGTCATGCATGGGGCAAGGGCAAGGTCACGCTCATGGGTGCGGACATGAGTATGGATGTGGGCATGGATGTGGGCACGGCCATGGGTATCGACACGGGCATGGAAAGGCAGTGGCACGTTGGCAGGAGCAGAGCAGGCAGCACGGACACACTGGTGTGCCTTCCAACACACGTGGGTTCATGGAGGTCTTGTTGGGGACGGAGCTGCTGGAGTGTCCCTGCGCGTGTTGCACCCACATGGAGCCCCCATCCCAGCTGCAGGGGTTGGCCTGGAGAAGTGGCTCCTGGGGGGCGTTTGAACACACTCTGCAAGGAGCAGCACTCTTGATTGTCACTCCTATCTCTAATCCTGCTTCAAAGCCAGCTCCTTTTATTTACATATTGACGTATGATTCATTTAATTGACTTTCTTGCCTCGGAATTGTACTTACTTAATTAATCTGATTACATTTCTGTTTCTAGTTACAGAGTTTCTGTGTTCCAGCCCAGCGGTGGCTGTGTTTCTATGAAGTGCTGCAATTCTGGTCGATCTCCCCAGTAGATAGAGTGTGCAAAGCATTTTGGGATCCTTTGGTAGGCAGGCAGAAGACATGGAAAGTGCCGCAGCAATTTCCATTTTCACACACGCAGCAGCTTTACTTGTGGCAGAAGTAAGACACACTCCTAGTCAGTGGGATTGAATTATCTCCATAAATTCATTACATTTTAAAAAATATGATAATCAGCACGAAATGAACGTCCCAAGGGAGACAGAACATGTACATCTCAAGTACTGCTAATAATAAGCCTTTAATTTACAAACGCCCAAGGCTGGCTCAAAGCCTGCACGTCCCATGGCACAGGAACGGGTGCTGCGCCCGGCCCCGCTGCCACCACCCATCCCATGTGGCACCCAGTGCTGCCCCTGGGTGCTGGGCACTGGCGGTGCTGGTGGCCATTGGTAGCCCCTCCACGGTGACATTCTGCTTTCGGCCAAGGGCTGCCCATCCCAGCCGCTGCCACCCAGCAAATATCAATATTTATGAAATGATTAGAGCCTGTTTAATACACAGTTGCAGCAATTAGGAAGCAGGCAGCATGCATCGCTTTGTAGGCATGCAATATTCATGGGGCTGGCAGTGGGATGAGGGGCCTGGTGCCATCCCTCCCGCTGCCCACCTCTCTGCCTCCAGCCCAGCAAAGCACCCAAAACTCACTCGGGTGCCACCACCGCAAACTTCTTCTCTTTGTGATTTTGATGGCTGAAGGCTTCTCCTCTGCTCTTCGTTTGTTAAATACTGATTAATTATTAAATTAGCCATTAACTATTAATAGCCAGTTTCATGAGTGTTAACGACAGCCGTGTGCAAAGAGATCTGTGTCTATGGCAAACCTGCTGAACCTCAGGGAATAAATCCTTGATAATCAATATGGCATTCATTCCATTTGCAATTCCTGTCTCATTTGGTCCACATTTAGCATGCACTTAAGTGTATTTTATACAAACGTAAAAGCAAATTTTATTGCTGATAGAAATTATCATCTCATAGCAGTAACAGCAGCATCCTTTACTTATTTCTGCAGCCCGGGGAGGGGATGCACCTGCAGAAGTTGCCCTGAGCTGCGAGCCTTCATTGCCCCCCAAGGCTCCATTGCACTTCGGGCAGCTCCTGCTCCACGGATGCTGTCTCAACAAGGAAATCAGTGTCCAAGAATGACAGCCTCCATACATCCCACAAACAAGAGAGCACCGTGGGTTCTCAGGCACCTCTGGCTCCTGCCCCTCACTACCACCTTCTCTGTCCACCGTCCCCTGTTTTTTTCTCAGTGATTCCCAGGCTGGGATGACGCAGGGCGGGCAGAGGTGACATCAAGCCGTCCCCAGGGTGGTGCTGGGCATCGGTGCAGTGCTGCATGGGAAGCAGCACAGAGCCCTGTGAACAAGTCCCTGTGCCCTCCCTGGAGACACTGAGCCAGCAGAAGGGGTGTGGAAGGGGAGCAGAAAGTGCCACAGTGCTGGAGCGAGTCCACAGGCAGCCCATAATGCAAGCGGCTGTGGACACCTCTGGAGCACGGCTGCTGAAGCCAACGGCCGTGTCCCAGGAAAGAGTTTTTGGCCTGGGGAGTGTTATTTTGACTGGTGCATTTGCACAGTCCCAAAAAAAGCCGCACGGCTTTTCAGGATGCCCCGTGAGGAGAACTATTGCTGCATGAGAGAGAAAGGGCCTTGGATTATTTTCTCATGTCAATTAACTGCACTTTCCAAAGGAAACCCAGACTGCTCTGAATCCTGAGCATGGGAGCCCAGCCAGGCTGCTCCCCCAAAGAGCTGCAGTTGGAGGGGGAAATCAGGGCTCTTTGGCCACGAGCTCCTGGGCCAGTGCCAACAAATAAAATAGTCATAACGAGGCCTTTTGAGATATGTTTGGAGGGTTGGCTTTCCTTTTTTTTGGCCTGTTGGAGAAGCCATTCAGCACAGCGGGAGCAGCAGCGGACTGCGAGCAGCATCACGCTGCTGGGCTGCCCATAAAGTGCAATGTGTGCCCCCAGCCCACAGAGCTGCCTGTGTCGCTGCAGAGCTTTGTGCTGGGCTAGAGCTCTGCACAGGGCACAGACAGGGTTGGGCAGCCCCAGCAACGTACAAGGGGAGATGTGTAGCCCAGGAGGGGCAGCAAGAGGCTTCAGTGCTGTATCCCAGCAACTTGTGCTCCGTTTGTGCATGGGAACTGGAGAGCAGGGCTGGACCAGGTCCTACTTAGGGCATCAGAGCTACCTCAGGGCAGTGCTCCTGGATGATAATGGCAGAGTGAGAGCTCGTGACAGCACTAGGCTTCCTGTAGCAAGGGAGCAGCAGCCTCCATTGCATCCCTATAAAAAACACTCTTCACACTCTTCACACTCTTCAGATGCACCCACTGCTCTCTCTGGTTCCATAGGGTGCACTGGACTCACGCTGCTGTAGAGCAGCCAAGCAGCAGAAGCGGATGAGCCACACATGAGTGTGACCTCCAGCCCCTACTGCTCAGGACGAAGAAGAGATGCTGCAGAGCCTTCAGATCAGAGGGGCTATGGACAGGCTCTGTATCAGAATTGCTAAGTCAGAGCTTGGAAAAGTGATGGAGCAGCTGGGGGGAAGGCAGGGCCAGCCCAGGGGAGCTCAGGTATAGGCAATGTACTGAGTGATGGAAGCCAGGATCCACCCCTTCCTGGCCCTCATTTAAGGGTTGGCAGTGGATGTAAAGGCATCTTGCCGGAGGTTCCTGCTTACCTGAGGCATTCTAAAGGTAAGCAGCTGTTTTTCTTTTGTTTCTGTGTTCATGGCTGCTGCATTTGGTCTTATTCTCACTTTCTGCAGCCTAGGACTTTGCTACCCTGCTAATTATTGCTGTACTTCCTATGACATTATAACATTACAATTGCAAACCCACCCACGGTGCTGGGGACATCCCATCTGATGCCATCTGCTGGGGGAGCCTGGGTGAGGGCAGCCCCCACAGCAAGTGGAGCCTCTAGGGAGAGGGCTGAATCCCCCTCCCACCTGTTGTGCTCCCGGTTCCAGGGGGGCTGTGCAGGGCCCTCCATAGGCAGAGGTGTGCTGGTGGCTCCCAGTCCGGTGCTGGAGGGCAGCAGAGGGCTCCAGTGGCTGCCTGCTGCTCCTCGCAGTGTGAAATACAGCACTGGAGTGGGAAGAAAGGCATTCTGGCTGGCAGCAGAAAGCCGTCTGGGAGAGATGACCTGGTTTAAGGTTTCAGAACAAATGCAGTGACAGGCTCAAATCAGGCCTGAAAACTCTCTTCCTGCCCCTACCCATCTCAGTGAAACCTCTGATCTCCGTCCAACTCCCAGCATAGCTTGGGGGGCCTTCATGAGTCTGAGCCTGCGGTGGGGGCACAGAGGTTTGTAGCCTCCTGCTTGAAGCTCAGCAGGGCCAAGGCCACACTACTGCAGCACCTGGAATGTGGGAAGGGAGGAAACCCCTTCTCCATGGGAAAGAGATGGCTTGGTGCTGTGCACCCACAGCTTTCTGGATGCATGCACCGTGGCTGTGCAGAGGCAATGGCAGGCTAGGTTCCTCCTCCCACCCGCAGGCAGCAGGACCTCAGGGCTGGCTATTGGAAGCAGGTGTGCTGCCCTGCCAGCGATGGGAGCAATTACAGAGAGAGCCTCTGCAGAAAATTTATGTCCATCTCTCCTCACCCCTCTCTCCTGAAACAAATTATGCCACAGTGCTGCCCCATTTGAGGGGAACCCATGCAGTCCTCCCCAGCCCCCCAGCGGTGGGATGCAGCGGTCCCTGCAGCCCTGCAATTCATCTCCCTGGGAGTGCATCGGGGGATCCCAGCACACCTGGGCTGTGCAGCCTGGGCCATTGCCTAGCAGCTTCCCCTGGCCCAATGTGAGGAGTGGAAGGCAAGGAGGGGGGGGGCCCACAGCTCCCCCCATCACCAGCGCTTACCCTGAGGTTTATTATTACACAAATGTGAATTCCAGAACCGGCATCTGGGGAGCAGCTGCTGGGAGTTAACTCCTTCTGTGCTGCAGAGTGGGAGGAACAGGTTTGGGGCTGAGAGTGGCCATGGGGAGTTCTAGGGGTGCATAATGAGGCACCTCCTGTGTTGCAGTGCAGATTGGGAGCAGGTGCAAAGGGCATTTGGTTTGTGGGGCTGTGCTGTGTGCATGGATGGGGAGGTGAGTTTCTCTCTCCTCTTTTTTTTTTCTTTTAATAGCATACATTTCTGTTTCCATTCAGAGGTTTTATGGAGATTTGCTCTGCCTCCTAGGCAAGGCCTGAATGTGCAGTTTGCTTTGGGATGCAGCTCCAGGGGATGCTGCACTTGGCTTCTGATGAGCAGCCTGGAGATAAGGGTGAGAAGGTGCAGCCACTGCTTCTGAGCAGGACTCAGCTTCATGCAGGGATCTGGCTGGCACGTTTTGTTTGAATGCAGACGTTTGGGTAACATCCTTATAAAGAAGGCAGCTCCTGATAAATCCTACTGTCCTGACAGTTTTCACAGCACCTTTGCAAGACTACAGGGGTTGGTCACTGGCTTTTTGGATCCTGAAAGTCCCCTGGCTCTCTAAATTCTTTGCACGGCACTGTAGCCCCAACGTGCCAACGTACAGCCAGAGGATACCCCTTGCTCCTCTGCTTTGACAGAAAGCGGAGCAGGCGCAGTCCCTCGTGAGACACTGCATGCCTGGGCCATTGCCATCCCCACTGCCAACCCTCCCCCCATCCCACCGAGCCCTTTCACCAATAAGTTTCAGCAGCTCCTCCCCATCACCCTGTCCAGCCTCTCCCTCAGCCACTCCTCATCAGACTTGTGCTCCAGACCCTTCTCCAGCTTTGTTGCCCTTCTTTGGATGAGGGCCTGCCCTTAATTGCAGTCTCCTGCTCCCTGCTGCGGCGTTATCCACAGACTCCCTTCAAGCCTGTACTGCATTGCTCCTGACACCAAAGTGGAGCTGACAGGGAGACCTGACATGCAAAATAACAGCAGCCAGAGCAATCACTGTCTCCTGAGGAGGTGTTTATAATGCGAGGAACCCCTGAAGGGATCTGAGCAGGAGTAGAAACAGCAGCCTGGGCTGCAGCTCCCAGAGAGCCCAACACAGTTATCCTGCCCCTGCACCCCAAGCAGAGCAGGGCTGACAACATCTCCTGGAGCATCAGTGGCTTCCAGCCTGTGGGATCTTTGGGACGGGGGCCGAGCCTCTCTCTCAGCTCCATGTAACCACCCCGTGGCACAGGGTTTCAGCTCAATGAACTGAGCACCAGGGCTCTGTGTCACCACTGCCTGCTCTGGGCTGGTTTTCCCCTGAAACGTATTGAATCCCACTCGGCAGCAGGGCAGGATGACAAATAGTTCTGATGAATAGTCTAAACAATGGGAAACAATGGAAGTCAGGGAGCAGCATAGAAAATATGCAGCACGCAGGGGGGCTGGGCTGTTTTATTTGATTATCAGATGGATATTCCAGTGGCCAGGATCCATCCAGGAGCAGAACAACACATGTCCAACTCAATAATATTTCGGGGAGCTGGAGAGACTGCTTCCCTGGGGAGCAGTTGGAAGCTTAAGTTGGAGTCAATGCCAAGTGGCAGTGGGACAGCACTCCCTGACACACAGGAGCTTCTGTGGCACAAGGAGAAGGGAGCAAGGGGTGGCCCTGACCCAAGGGTACTCAAAGGGCTGGCAGATGGGGCCCAGCAGAGGGTGTTTTGGAGCAGCCAGGGCATGCTTTCTGCCTTCTCTTAGAAATTCCTTTGCATTCGGAGTCATTCTGCAAGTCAAAAGCTGTTAGGATCCTCAGGACGCCCGGGGAGGAATATCGACAAGGTTTGCTCCGATGCTATTTCTCAGCACAGCTGTTTGTGCCATCAGCGGTGGGGTTTCTCTTTTAAGGGGAAGGAATTTCATCCATTAAAAAGAAATCCATAAATGACGAATCTGCACTCGGCCTAAGAGTGAGTGATGAAATCCTCCCGCAGCCACTCCGGCCCGGCTCTGTCTGCAGCACCCACCTGCAGCGCGTGGTCCCCATGGGGCTCAGCCTTTGGGGTGCAGCACTGCATGGGCTCTGGCAGGAAGCGTTCTCTCCTGAAGCTTTCACTTCCCATGTTGGAGCGGGGCAGGAATGCTGTGAGAACAGCCGCTCAGGAGCTGTTCTGAGATGTGCACTTCCAGCTGGAACAGAAACTGTGGGGTCAGCAGAAGGGAGGTGAGAGAGCTGCGGGTGGGGAGGAGTGATGCAGAGTTCTGCCCTCTGCAGGGGCCTCTCCTGCCTGCCCAAGCTGAGAGCTGTAGGGCTGTCTGAGGACTGGGATTCTAAGGGTCTGCTGCTCCCTTCGCCAGAGCAATGCAAATAATTCAAACCTTGCATACGCAATCGGCACGCAGTACCTCCTGTTTGTTTTATACTCCTTGGGTTTTCATGTATTTCAGACTTACTCTATTGATTTGCATGGCAAAACATGGCCAGGAGCTGGCAGGAGTGCCAGCTGTGTTCAACGTGTTCTGCTTTAACACCTGGGACAGAACTGATGGCAGCAGGGGGAACCGGAGTGCCTGGGTCTGCTTAATGTCCCCTCCTGCTCCTGAGAGATGAGAAGCGAGCTCTGCGGGTCACACCTGATGCCTCAGGTCAGTCAGGATGGGCAGGAACAGCACAGTGTGGAAGGCAAACGGCCATCACTCTTCCCCCCTGGCTCACAGCCCCTCCTGTATGGAGCTCTGTGCCCTACCTTGCTACTCTGCCTCACAGGTGTCCCTATGGGTGAGGCAAGGGGGGGGAGGGATGAGGGGCACAGGAGAGAAGCAGGTGGAGAACCCCGCAGGGGCAGGAAGGGAATGATGGGTGCAAGTTGTCACTGTCTGCACCCGATGCAAATCTGCTCACCAGAGGGTGTTGGAAAAGCAGAGCTCTCCCCATCTCACAGGTCTGTGTCACAGCAGGAAGATCCCAGGCCCAGGGTGGGATGGTAGGAAAAGTAAATAGGAGAAAAACAAACAGAGAAAAGGACCCAAACATGGGCAGTGTTGCTCCTGCTCCCTCAGAGGGCAGGAGGCAGGCAACAGGGCCCAGCCAAAATGCTTTAAAAGCTTCACTTTTATATGGCCCTTGTTCTTCAAAGACATCAGGGCTCGTGAAGGAAAAAAATAATACTCTGCCATTTACCTCTGCCTCTGACATGTTAATGGTTGTGTTTTTGAATCATTAAATATTGAAATGTGTAACACTTCCTGTGGCTGCCAAAGCACTCTGCAGCCCGGCTCCCCCCCATCCACTCTCCGCCAACACCTCTGGTTTCTCCCTGGGTTCTCTTCTCTGCATCCACCTCTTCCTTCTCTTCCTCTGCCCCACTCTGCAGGTTATCCCAGCCCCCTCCCCAGCATCCCTCTGCTGGACTTCCCGTTCATGGGCTGCGCTCTGTAATTTTCTGCTTTAATATTCCCACCTTGCTGTTCTTCAATTCAGCAGGACTTGGAGAATTAGAAAATGTATTTATCTAGGTACGCTGGAGAGCAAGAGAAACAAAGAAACCAGCAGGGCTTTTCTAACAAGGAATGACTAATGTGGCCCAGGAGAGCCCGTCCTCTTCCAAGCACTCCATTTTTCCCTGGGCTTTGCATCCAAAGATAACATTGGCAGTGCCAGTGCCAGCGATGGGGCACCTGCCAGCTCTTTGCTACCGTGGGCACAGTGCTGCTGCAGGAGATGGTGCAGTTTGTTTTACCTGCTCTTAGTGACCCTGCAGCAGTTGGTGTGCAGCCAGCAGACA